AGGCCCCATAAACATGTCTTCTTTTGGGTCTATGATGATGTTTTCCAAAGTAAGTTCTTTGGAGCATCAGTTCTTCAGAATGTTAGGAGGTTTACTTGGAAAAAAAATAGTCTTGTGTATACGTTTGCAAAATGATTAGAAAAAGTCAACAAATGGATGATAGGTTTCTACAGTGCAAGACTTCTCAGTGTTTATCTCCAATAAGAGAATAGAATTTTGTCACCTTTTTGACCAAATAATTTCTTTTTCATGGAGATATTTAATTTTTCAAAGAATACACTAATTTTCCAAAGAAAACAGTTCATATATGCTCAGCTCTAGTAATCATCAGCTAAGACCTTAGTTTAAAAACTGCTGCATTACTCATTAGTCATGAGACAGTAGGCAAGTCTTCTCACCGTGCAGGACCTCAAATTCCTCATCTGAAAAATGGGAGGATTGTTGCTTCAACTTGCAGTATTTTGTGACAATTAGAAATGTTAGACTAGTTATACATATGAAAAGTTCTGTAAGGTTGCAGAACATAGTAGGTAGGTAATAAATGAACCATTTCGAGGGACTACTCTGATTTGAAACTTTTTTCCAATCTCCTACTTCATGCTCCACTTCATCTTACTTCCTTCCTCTTCTTTTCCCTCTTCTCTGTTCCACTGCTCTTCCTTCTATGACAACTACCACCGTGACTACTACTAGGTGCTAACATTTTAGGCACTGTGCACTGGATTGTCTAACAAACACCTGACACCCCCTTTTCTCTTTCCACTTCCATATTCTGTTATATTAGATAGTTTGGGCCAGTGTGACACAAGGGCAATTCTTATGGGACTCTGAGAAGACTTTTGTTTTCCCTAATGAAAGTACACAATGTGTGGAACCATGACAACTATATTACAATCATTAGTAAAAGGCCTAGAGAATGGCAGACGTGTTTGCCTTTGCATCACTGAACCAAAACCTGAAGCAATCCCCCTCCACAATTTTTATAACACGAGTAAAATGAACCCCAAAGAGTATAAGTGTTTGAAAATAGGCTTTCTACTACTTGCAGACACAATTCTAAAAGGTTGAGGTAGCATTTATTGAATACTTTCTACATGCTGGTACTAAACACTTAATGCATATTACCTCATTTACTACTCAAAATAGGAACTATTATCTACCATTTTACAGTTGAGAAAACAGACAAAAGTACCTTATTCAAATTCATAGCTGAATTGAAATCCAGGTGTGGTTCCAAAGCCAGAACTCTAAACTAGTATGCTGTCTTTGCATTTTCCATCTCTGTACATACACCTTTCCAGGAGCCTGTCCTAACTTTCAGAGACCAAGTTACCATAACCATAGATATTACTATATTCTTCATTTTGAGGTATACAATTAGTATCCTTTTTAAGATAGAGAACCCTTACCATCTGCCATTCCATGTGGAAGGGACACACACAGACCCCATCCAGAAATAGAGGGCATACCCAGTCTCAGATTATAGTAGCCTGTTTCTTCATACACCAGACAGAGGACAGCAGAACAGGGCTGGGCCCAGTATGGTAGATGCTTCTCCACCAAAGACCTACATCCAGAGATTTAATTTACCTATTTAAGCCCACCTGACATCCCAAGAGGTGGGCTCAATGGCATATTAAAATTTTCACGCCTGAGAAGCACAACTCATGGAAGTGATTTGGAAGAACATGTAAAAATATTAGAAACACCTGAATTTATTTGTTTCCCATTAGTTAAGTTGAAGTGTGGCAAACCATGTGTTATACACTGGCTTTTATAAAACTAATTATCAAATGGGAGCTGAATCCCTGCATAAAAGGCTATATCTATATCCTACGATGTAATAAATATGCTGAACATCTTGATTTTGTATCACAGAGAAGAAATATTTAGTTTTGGAGCTCACGGAAGCTATAGAGGAAAAAAATTTTAGTTTGCATCTCTTTCTAATGACTGTGGGTTAAAAAGGAGAGCAGATATCAGATGCATGTGATACAAAAGAATTATAGCTTTCCCTGCGTCTTTTTCTTATCCATATCAAAAGCAGGTTCTAGCTTGAATATTCGGGTTGATGGCAAAAAAAGGAGTCTCCATATAATCAGACTATAGCCTGTCTTAGCTATAATCACATAGACAGATCAAGATTTGCCAAGATTGCAGAAAGAAGACCAAACACTTGCCAAAGGTCTCTCTTTACCCTCTTGTCAGATTCTAACATCCAAATGCACAGATTGCAAAACTATAAAAACTACATGGCCCTGTAGGAAAAACAAGTTAAAACATTGCAACAAAAATCTTTAGAATTTCCGCTTTCTAGTGGTTGGCACTATCAGTAAAATTTGTTGCTTTTGTTTGTCCCTTTGTTTATTAAATTAGAAACAAAATAGTTTAAAATATTTATTGAACATTACTAGAGAAACATTATAACTATAGCAAAGCATGGGATCAGTGATCCAATTCTAGAGCAGAGACTGATGACCACAGGAGTGAGAGAGATATCTAATGTAGGGCACTGTTGTCTTAATCTTATAAAAGTTAATAGGACAACTAGGCAGTAAGAGTGTGCACATTTGAAGACAAGCAAAAAAGTACCTACCACATTGCTACCATCCCAAATTCATTCAACAAACATATCAAAAATCATTATTGAGCACTTCTATGTGCCAAGCACCCTTCAAGGTAGAGGTAGGTATTGGAGGCACAGTGATGAGCAAGGTAAAGAAGACCTCCACCCCTAAGGAGCTTGCTGTGCTTAAATTGGAATATAGGATGTGCTATACAGAATGGCAAGGAGCTGGACAACGTAAAGATCAAGATGCCCTGGAAAACTCAGACTGTATAATCAATGTCTCCATAGGTTTGTGCTGCCGTTTATAATGCTCTCTTTGTTATTAAGATCATCTAGATTGTGTATTTGGTACAGTAACTTTCATGAGTAAAAGAAGACTGACAGTGGTTAACTTAGTTAATCAAACACTTAAGTTAATCAAATACTAAAGAAGTGCTTACTGTGTGGCAGGCACTATACACATGTTAACTCATTCATTTCTCACAACCAGTCCATGAAGTATGCATTTCTTTATCTCCATTTTTCAGAGGAAAAAATCAAGACATAGAGAGGTTAAGTGAATTGGCCTAAGGTTCTGCACCTGGTAAGTCATGCTGCTGGTATTTAATCCCAGTGCTCTCTAGCACTATACTGTGCTACCTTCAATAAAGTGCCTACTATGTGCCAGCCTTTATACATATCATCTCCTTCACTTTTTACAATCCATTTTGTCAGATGGTAAAAATAACGTACAGAGAGATGAAGTAGCAGTGGTGGTGTTCAAACCCAAAACAATCTGGCGAGGCCAGTGTTCTCTGCCACCACTCCCATGCTGTCTCCCTAAGGAGCTTTCTCTAGTGAGTTTTTTAGGTGCTCAGACAGACTCACAATTCCCTCCCTCCATCAATATGCTTGTTTTATATACTCGTCTTTCCTGGGAGATTCTGTTTACAGATTGGACTTGAAGAAAAGTTGATAAAACAAAAGTTTGAAAAATAAATTTTCTTAGCCAAATGGAAAGGCTGATCTTGCAGAAATTTCAGAAAAAGAATGGTTTGTAGAGGAGTCAGGAAGGCAGCTGGAAAATAGGCCAGCAGGTTAGATATATGAAAGGCCTGCTGTGTACAGACTGTGACATAGCCAGGATTTATTGAAGAAGAAGACACGAACTACAGTTTAATTGATTGTCTTGTACAATGTACGTAGAAAGAGATGAGAAGTGTAAAGCAAGTAGAAAAGAGTTGAAAGAGGTAAGGGTACAAGTTAATAATGTAAACGAATTGGACCTCGTGGATAAAATTCAACTCTCCTCTGAATTATTTTCAAGCCTCAGCAGACAGTATCTTTACCATCATAATAAGTCATGCTTTGAAGATTTAGGGCTGACAGAAAAGTAGGACTTTATGCAGGCTAAGTGATGGTATAGGAGAATAGTTCAAGCAATGTTATTTAGATATGTAGCTTCCATTTGAAAGCTATGTATCTTCCATTTATTTATCTAGGTTTTAGAAATACTGTTAAATTTCAGAAGAGTTAGCAGGACTGATGTCTTGACCAGCTCTTTTGATGTGTACTTCTTAAATAGAGGTGATCCTTAGTCCCAATGATCAACAATCGGTGTTGCCTTTTTGGTACTTCAACATTTTTCCTAAGCCACTGATAACACGACCTTGTCTTTTGAAGTGCTTTGGGATCGTTTATCACATACGGAAGTTCCTAACATGGGGGGAAATCATTGGCTTTTGGCTCTAGATTCTTTTCAGATTGAAATGGTCGAATAACTACTGCCTGTGATATTGAACTTGGAGTGAGATGAGACTACACACAAAAAAGAACTGGGAAACTGGTTGTTTTAATATGCAAAGTCATTTAGTTGTTTTGTCCTTTTCAGCTGCTTAGACATCTCCCAAAGATTTCATCTTGCCCATTAAGAACTAAAATATAAATCTTACATTCTTGTGCCTCTATTGGATGGCCATTTAAGCACTCTTCTGGCTTGAATAGGTTTAGGCTCGTGCAAGTGCAGTTCGATATGTAGAGTTCTTGGCATTCTGCTCTCAGTATAATCTTTGTTGGTAATATATTTTGACTCTGTTCTGGCGAGCTAGAATTTAACCCACAATGTAACTCTGTCCCCTCAGAACTCAAGGGCCCTTGCCTTGGCTTTGTGACCTAACTCTGCTCTGTCTCACCTCTCAACCTTACTCCCCATATGCTGTAACTCTGCTTTATTAGAGATTTTGACTCCCTGTTTCTAGACTTGGCCTAAGTAACTTGACCCACATCCCATTAACCCCATAAATACCATTTTATGAGAAGGTCCATGCCCTAAGGCACCCTGCCTCCCATGGTTTCATTTACTCAGATTTCTCCCATTTAAAAGACCCAGGAAACACATGCCTCTGCTTCAGCTGTAGGGGCCAGCGCCCCTCTAAGCCCCCACAACTTTTACCTTAAGGTTTCCCCAGAGGAGCCCCTTCTCTTCCACAGGTTGACTAGGCTGCTGGATCTGCTGGCTGCGGAGGATGACTTGCCATCCCCTACATGCATGCGCACCACAGTAGATGTGGTGAAGGCGCTGCGCACATTTCTCTCTGGTTTGGCCAGGATGATGTACACCTTCGGCACAAACATGCAGCCTAGGGCCACTGTGGCACTGAGGCTGACCGAGAAACACATGGTGATGATTTTGTAGTTGCTGCCAAAGTAGATTGGTACAAAAGCTAGCCATATAATGCAGGTCGTGTACATTGTGAAGGCGATATACTTGGCCTCGTTGAAGTTAGCTGGAACATTTCTGGTCTTGAATGCATAGAAGGTGCAGCTCAAAATCAACAATCCATTGTATCCAAGTGGAGTGACAACTCCTAAGTTGGTGGTGTTACAGATCAGGTAGACTTCTCGAATGCTTGGGTAGTCATGCATTATGTCAGGAGGCTCCATTATAAAGAGGGCAACAATGATGCCCAACTGGATGCATATGAGAATGAAAGCAATCACTAGCTGGGCACAGGCACTCATGAATCTGGGCTTTTTGGTACAGATCTTCTTCTTGCTGCCAGCCAGGATCCTTGCAATACGGTTGGTCTTTGTTACAAGGGCTGAGTAGCTCATGGCTGGGGACAGACCAATGCCAATTCTCTGAAGGTAGCAGTAAATCTGTTTGGGTTTTGCAATGAGGCAGAAGGTACATAAGTAGCCCAGGCAGATGCCAGCAAGGATAATGTAACAGAGTTCCCTGCTTGAGGACTTGACTACTGGTGTATCCCGGTAAATGATGAAGACTACAGTAACAAACAGGGTGGCTAGGAGGCCAAGGCAGGCAAACACCACAGCTGCAATGGGTTCAGGGTCACCCCATCGAAGATACTGTACTGGAATCAAATCACAACCTGCAGAGACACAAACACATATTGTAAAGGAGGAAGAGATGTTGACTTGGGTCACATATCCCTAAGTTACAAGCAGCTGTTTATGATCATTTCAGTTTGTTCCCCATCTACTTTTCTAATTTCAGAATCTCATGCTACTTATTGTTTTATGTATTCATTCAGAAAATTTTAATGATGATAATACTGAACACATACATGGTCTGTGATAGGAACTATTCTAGGTTCTGAGAAGAAATAATGAAGAATGTTTCCTGCCCTCATAAAAATATCAATGGCCTTTTAAACAATTGTAACTGTGATAAGGTTTATGAAGAGTTATAATATGGGTTCTAAGCAGTCTCTGGAAGCAGCAAAGACCTCCTACAATAGGAATTAGCAACTAAATGTGTTGGTTTGATGGAGATGGGAATTTCATGGGCTTGGCAAACTTACAGTTAAACTATGTTAACTGTAAGGAAGAGAGGCATGAAAGGAAGCCACTGTATGATAGTGCAACAAGTGGCCTAAGATGATGAGGCTGGGAGGTAGGCAGGAAGGGGATCTTGGAGTTTAGAAAGTCCTAGATCAGTAGGAAGTTATTCTGAGGATCTATGTAGAGCAATGACAGGATCAGGTGTGTGTGTGTGTGTGTGCGCGTGTGTGTGTGTGTGTGTGTCTGTTTTAAACATTTCTTTGGTTGCTACGTGGGTTTTGGATAAGATAAAGGTGTGGACACATTTAAGACTTATTTTAGAGCCATATAGAGTGTTTGAATGGATGTGGGAATGTGTGAAAAGTGAAAAAGGTCTGAAATATGACCAACACTAGTAAAGAAATTTCAGAGAATTTTGTGGTTTAGAAGTTTTAGAGGATTCTGTTAAAAAAAAAAAAAGAGGATATTCATTTTTATAAGAAAACTGACCCCAAAGGCAAACAATTGGCACGCAAGGGAAGTGCACCACTCTCAAAATCATTCCTTAATTATGACATGCAGTTTTTAAATTATTTCTTGATTATATAGCAGAAAAACAGTGATAGAATACAGCATCATTTGGATTATCTGTCCTTTACAATTTTTTAGGACAGTGGTTCTCAAAGTTGGCTACACACTAGAATCACCAAGAATACACACACGCACACACAGACATACACACACACACACACACACACACACACACATACATATATAAAATCCTGAGACCTGGGTGTCCCATTGGTTGAGCTTCTGACTTAATTTGTCTGAGTGTTACCTGGGCATCAGAATTTTTTAACAATACTGTAAGTGCCTGTAATGTGCAACCAAAGTTGAGAACCATTGTTCTGGGAGGATCATTCTTGTCACTTAGACTTTTAAAGAAAATAGAATTGAGATAGCTTCACTGAGTAAGTAGGAAAGGAGGCAAGTAATCTGGAGCATTGGACATTTGAGGAATATAGCAGAAATGACTAATTTCATGTCAATATCTATTCTCCCCTTCATTCTCAGCAACAGACCTCTAATTTCATTTGTGATGGTAAAGGCATCAGTTACAATACTACATTTTGCGTCAATCATTGCTGCGAGATGTGGCATATGAGTAGTAGGTTTTAGCCAATAACATGTAAACAGAGGATTCCTAAAAGGAAAGTGACTCATGGTAGAAAGTAACATTTTTCCCTTATTTACTTTCTTCTTCTGCTGTCTGGCATATAAACCTGATGGCTAGAGCTCCAGCAGTTGTTTTGGACTTTAAGGTAACTTGAAGGACAGAACATGTGTTCTGGATTTGGAAGAGATAAATAGATGGGGCTCCACTCCCTGAGAACCATGGACCCCCCACTACCTGTGGACTATGTATATCCACATCTTCTTTGTTTAAGCTTCCTTTATTTATTCATTTTCTTGATCTATGCAGGGAAACTAAATCCTTATTGATAAGGAGTAAAGTTTCCTATTAACTTGTCCTATCCCATGATAAAGGGTGTTGCAGTCAGTGGCTTTGAATATCAATGGTTACTGGGAGGCAGGGGAGGAAACAACAGGTAATGACAGCAAGGAAGCATGTAGTTCTTTCAAAATATTCCTAAGGGTAGCTTCGTTGTGAAAAGGGAAGGGAAGGGAAGAAGGAAGGGAAAGAGAAGTGGGAGGGGAAGGGGAAAGGGAATGAAGGGGAAGGGGGAATGAAGGAGAAGGGAAGGGGAAAGGGAGGGGAAGGGGAAGGGGAAATGGAAGGGAAGGGAATTCTTCCCCTTATTTCTGCCCTGCTGCTGCTTTGCTTTAAGATCTCACATTTCAGAAAGTACTGTTAGTACTACAATTAAAGTCATAATGGGTTTAATAGGAGTTATGAGCTAGCCTGGGATTCTCAGCACACTTTGCAAAATGTTTCTATGGGAAAATGTATTCTTACTCTAAATAATTGTGCATTAAATATCGAAACAAAGGGCTTTAAATTTTAAAAAATTGTGGATAGCTCAGACTAAATACAACTAAATACAAAACAGTTGTGTTATATGACCTCATTAAATATAAAAATACATATCTCATTGCTAATTAATATGCCTATATCCATATTTCTAGTCATCTACATTCCCATGTGCTTCCTATACAGTTGGAATTCAACCTCTGATACTTTAGTATGCCATAGAGTTTAGGCTTATATTTACAAGTTTGCTCCTTGGAGAGGCTATTTTACAAAAGAAAGTATTAATCATATATATACATATATATGTGTGTGTATATATATATAAAATATATATTTTTTGAGTCATAGCCTTGCTTTGTTGCCCAGGCTAGAGTGCAGTGGTGTGATCTCGGCTCACTGCAACCTCTGCCTCCTGAGTTCAGCTGATTCTTGTGCCTCAGCTGCCTGAGTAGCTGGGATCATAGGCATGCCCAGCTAATGTTTTTGTATTTTTAGTAGAGACGGGGTTTCACCATGTTGGCCAGGCTGGTCGAACTCCTTGCCTCGAGTGATCCACCTGCTTTGGCCTCTCAAAGTGCTGGGATTACAGGCATGAACCACTGTGCCTATCCCATTCCTATCTTTATTATTTCATAATAGTTCATTTATAGCAATGATTTAACAATAAAATTTATTAAACATATAGAGGTCTGTTTCTACTGCTAGGTCATAAGCTACTAATGTCTATAGCAATTTACTTATATAAGAAATGTTATGTTTGTATATAGGGCAGGAATCTTTTAGGTAAAAAAGAATGAACTGGAAAAAGTAATTAAACACTTCAGTTTTACCCTATTTTTTCCTACTGTTCTGCTAAATCTTAATTGTTTTCATCTTAATGTAATTAGCAGCTTAATTTATAAATACTTTGCATAGAATAACATTTACTACTATTTTTATCAGATATATTTTTGAACTCTTTATGTTCAGCTTATTAACATCTGTGTGAAACTAAAGAAAACTCTAGATATATGTGTTAAAAATGTACATGAGGCTTGCCTCTAATGTGATGTAATTATTTTCACAAATTTATCAGAATTTATATATTTAAATGAATGTTTCTTTTATTTAATGTAAACCATTTAGAAAGTCTTACATTTAGTTTGCTGCCGCCATTGCAAAAAATGCTGTTGTAACTATTCTCTAAGAATAGCAAATTGGACTCTGATTAAAAGGTTATAATCACTGAATCTTAGGATTGAATAAGATCTTAGGGTTTCCAAAAAATGGATGTGTATCACAATCACTTGGGAAGCATACAAAACTATAACTCACGAGTCTAAACTCAGAAGATTTTGAGTCAGTACATTGTGGTGGGGCAAACGAAACTTATTTTGAATAAGCAACTTCAGTGATGCTCTATTAGTCTTTAGTGCTTGGTTTGCAATTCAACCTTAGAGATTATCAAGCCAAATTCTTACCCATTGTGCAAATGCTTTATATGATAACTCCAAGACGTAATCATCCTAACCTTACTTAAGGCTTTTTATAAAATATATCGTCTCAAGGGTAGGACTGGTGGTGGCGGTAGGGAGATAAATTGAAAAGGCAGAAAGTTGTGATGGCAAATGGAGACTGGAAATGAAGAAATCAGTTAGAAGACTATCACAAGGAGACAGGGATGATAAAGGCAAAAACTAAGTCACTGTACTAGAGAAAACAATTAGTTGGTAAAGACATTTCAGAACTGGAATTGAAAGAAATTATGAAGAAGATAGAAGAATCAAGAAGAAAGGCTTTGTAGCTGATAGCAGTACTATTAACTAAGATGAGGTCTTAGGAAGCAAAGGGTCACATTTCATGGGAATGATATCTAGTTCCAGTTTGAGCATGCTGTTTGTGCTGAGTCTGACCTAGTGAGCTTTGAATAGCTATCAGTGTGGAAGTTACAGCTTTAGGAATCATCTGTTTATAAAAGCTGAAAATAAGAGACATGGAAATAAACACAATCGATGAGGAAATTCTTAGATGTGGATGAGAGCGGAGCCTAGCAGTCTGGTGTAACACCAATACTAAGGAATGAGAGAGAGAGATAATATGTCAGGGAAGATGTAACATCAGGCAGAAGGAAGGAAGTGTATCAGAAGCCAAAGGAAAGTGTTAAGTGGATGGCCCACCACAGTCCCCTCTAACAATATCAGTTCTGTTTTACTTTTTAAAATTCTTATCCAAATAGCTTGCACAAAGCTTCAAGTTTCAGGTTCACAGGTGTCTCTTCTGATATTAGATAATTATATGGTTTTTTTTCCTTCACTAGTATTAGATTTATTTCTTTTGAATAAGGAATGTTGTGCTTTCTAACATGAAACAATATCTACCAAATCTCAGAATCTTGGAATAATGCTAACCTTATTATGATATAAATTTAAATTCTCAGTGATAACTACCCCTACTATGTGCACTGTTGTACAAATATCTGTGGTTATTGTTCCTAACTTCCTTATTTTCTTCTAATCATTGGGCATTTTTTCTATCAATGGTTTTATTTTTTATCCTTGTTTCAACCTTACTGTAATGGCAAGTTACTGGAAGTGTATCTAGAAGATATCTAAGAGTCTAAAGTGCATATAATGTATA